TTAGTTACTTCTTTGGCTTTCTTGATGTAATTCAGGAACCTGCTCTATTAATTCCAAACAAGTGTGGTGAACAGATCAAAGAAATGTTCTATGATTGTCACTTAAGTAGGTTTATTTTAAATTAAATTACACTGTGGTATGAGGTAGATAAATCAGTGAACTTCAGAATAAATTACACTGTGGTATGAGGTAGATAAATCAGTGAACTTCAGAACAGAACTTGGTTGCCTAACACTTCATATTCTTTTAAGATAAAGTCAAAAAACTTTGTATGATTTTCCATAGTTTTAATCATTTAACTTTACTTTTTCATATCTTTGCATCTCTGTAGTTGTCACTCTTCTTGTACCCAGAATAAAAAGTTCAGGCCAGATCAAATATTAAGTATATCCAGTATCCTAAGATGAGTTTCTTCTACTCCCAAGAGGCTCATTTTAAAGGCCTGCTTGTATTCAGTCTCCTTGAGGGCTAATGGCACATGTAGGGATAGAAATTAGACAACTGGACATCTAACCTCTTGGAGTAGCACCAAGTTGTTGGCATTATCTCTTAAAATACCTAATAATGGTTCACCCTAATTTCAGAAATATTCATCAATGCATTTCTGTATTTTCTATACAGAAGATAGCAGAATAAATTTTTAGTATCTTGAGAAGGTACTTATTACTTTTATAATCATAAAGTTATTTTAAATTTGAACGAACCAACTAAACATGAGGTATTTCTTCAATGATGGCAATCACTGTGTTCTACTTTGATTTTTATAATAACCACCTCAAGCCTAGTGGAAGAAACAGGAGCATAAACAGATAATTAAAATATAGTTTGGTAAGTGGCAGAGGTTAGTCACAAGATGATAGGGACTATTGGAGAAACACCAAACCTAGCTTAGAAGAAAACAAGGATGGTCTAGGACAGCTAGCTCTGAAAGACTTCAGGAATTACCTCAGCAAAGAAGGGATGATGGGTGGTTCTTGCAAGAACCTCAGGTATAAAGGCTGAGAGACAAGAGAAAAAGAATGATGAGTTCCAGAAACCAAAAGAAGTTCTGTGGGAGAGCTAAAGCTAGAGAGATGAAATTTAAGCCATGCTAAAGATGTTTACTATGATAGAAACAGAGAGGCAAAGAGCTTTTTAAAAAGGAATGACATGCTGTGATTTGCATTTTAGGAAAACCATTTCAGGAGCTGCTGTGAGTAGACAAGAGTAGAGGCAGTGAAGAAGACAAAGGCCAGCACAGAGGTGAAACAGGCTCAATCTTTAAGTTATCAGCAGTAGGAATCAAAAGATGTGAGAGGTTTCTAGAGGGAATAACAGGGTAGAATCAAAGAGCTTTGTGACTCCTTTTGGATATTACAGGTGACTCAGAGTTTCCTGATTTGGACAATTGGCTGCATTAAATAAGGTACACAATAAAGGAAGAAGGTCAAATTGGAGAAAATAATTTGACTTTGAAAGGAATTAAGGCAGAATGAGATTGCCTGTGTAAGATTAAAACTGTGTTGTGTTTTGTTTCTGTTCTTTGGATGGCCTCAGACAGTTAAGTTCTGTGAGTAACCAGCTAGGTGGGAAGGGAAGTGGCATTAGCATCACTCAGCAAAGACAAGCAATGAGTAGAGCTCTTCAGAGACAATCAAAAGGTAGCCTCCTGTTGGAGAATATATTGACAGCTTTCCTGTCCAGGACAGAGACTATAAATAGCCCATTTTAATTATGTGTCTGAATGAAATGGCAAGGGAAGGTGGTCAGGGCTTGTTGAACCAAAAGTGACAGATGTCTCCAAGTGTTAGACTATGTTTTAGATGATCCATAGCCTGAGAAGTAACAGCAAATGTATAAGAACAAGGTTGAAGGACTTCTGTAAGAAACCCTGTTACAGTGACTGGAAGAAGTACCTAGAATAGAAGATTTGAACTTTTAGCCACCAGGGATATCCAATCTTTTGGCATCTCTGCGCCATACTGGAAGAAGAAGAGTTATCTTGTGCCACACATTAAATAAATTGTGACACATAATCACACACACACACAAAAAACCCTCATAGCATTTCAGGTAAATTTATGATTTTGTGTTGGGTGACATTCACAGCCATCCTGGGTTGTATGCAGCCCACGGGCCTCAGGTTTGACACCCGTTTAGCATATCTGAAAAATATGCCCAGGCTGCAGATTGCTAGAACTCCTCATCATGGTTACAAGTAAAAATGCCTAACATTAAAAGCTTTTCAACCCACTTTTTATCTTTTCCCAAATGTAAACAAGAAAATCAAAACCATTTTTAGCTTACATGGAAGAATATCTTGGTATCTGTTTTTGTCTCTGTTGCGTCGTTCATTGCCAGAGCTGGACTCATGAAGCAAATTCATACATTCTAAAGCCTTTAAAGTTAAGAAATATAAGTCATGTATTTACTATAACAAAAAAAAGACCTGCTATCATTTAGTGTTCACAAATTCTTAACATTTTATATGACATTTTAATCCTTATATTAAATGTGTTATATTTTAAGTGGAGAGATCTAACCCCATTAAAAAAGTATTATATAAAATATCTCAAATTTGATATGTCAATCAAGAAGTTGCTTGATGAGGAAATGTTAAACTCTTAGAGATTCTTTTTTTGTTTGAACTTCAATACTCTTCAGTTTTCCTTAAAAAGAAAAGCCAATACAGAATATTCGCTTCTTAAGGCCTTCCCATAAATTTACCTTTTTATAGACAAAAATAATAGAATAACAGCAAAAAATATATATAAACATATGAACAAAAATATAAATAATTTCAAAGTTTACTCCTTGCCCCATAAAGAAATTACAACTAGGACACCAATTAAAGAATTGTTCCTTTCAAAAAAACATTATTTGCCAAGTGTAAATTCAACAAACATTTATCGAACATTTACTATGTATTTAGCACTCTTCTAGATATTAGAGTACAGAAATGAATCTCAATCTAAAAATGGCTTCACCCTAAAGAGGTTAATAGAGAAGCTAGAGAGGTGAACCTGTGAACAATGTACAAAGATACCAATATAAATGATAGCACTAGATTGAACCTGGAGGTATGGGAAGGAATGTTCCTAGAAAGTCTGTGTGTGTGTGTGTGTGTGTGTGTGTGTGTGTGTGTGTGTGTGTGTGTGTGTAAGGAAAGAATAGCAGAGGTGAATGGCTATCATTCCTGGCCAGAAGACATGAATAAAGGCATGGAGACATATGTGTCCTCTCAGGGAAATAGTAAATAGTATGTAACAAGAACACAGAGCACATGAATAGCCCAAAGGAAACTAAAACTACCTGGAAGGCCTTGTTTCATAAACTAAGAAACAGAACTGTATCTAATCCTATAGAATACTGATAGATAAAGCTTTAAAGCCTACAGTTTTCAAAAGTTCTTCAGTATTTCTTAGGCGGCCAACTTGGCACCACCAGTCCTTAAATAGGTATTGCAACTCCTGCCATGGGGAATGAGGAAAAAAAATTGTAGGATGCTGAGAACAATTTTGTAAATGAAGAGTAATGAGGAAAGACCAGACTTAACAGATGGTAAAAAGTAATATAAAGCTATGCTAATTAAAACAGTTTGGTACCAGTATATGAATAAACAAATCAATGGAAAAAGTCCAAGAATAAATTAAAATGTATGTGGGACTTCAGTAGATGGTAAAAGTGGCATTTTACATAACTGAAGAGAAGTTTCCAGAGAATCCTGGGACTACTGGGTAGCTATATAATGCTGGATCTCTACCAAATCCCTTATAACAAGCTAAATTCTAGCTGGATCAAAGATTTACTTTTAAAAAAATCATCAAAATATTAGGGAAAAAACATGAAATAATTACTATGATCCTAAAGTGAAAGGGAAATTCATAAAAGACACAGAAAACCCTTTAGCCCAAAAAAGAAAAGCTTGCCATATGTGACCACTAAAAAATAGTTATTTTTTTCCTTAGTAAATGTGTGCACACATGTGTGTATAACACAAGCATCAAAGTGGAAAAATTTACCATATACAACACATACAAAAGGAATAATTTCTTCATTATGTAAAGATTTATTAATGAATAAGAAAAAGAATAAACAGAACATTGGGCAAAGAATTGCAACTAGTAGTTCACCAAAAATAATATGAAAGGCTTAATTAAAAACATATGGAAAGCTATTCCTTTGTTCTCAAATAAAGAAGTCAATTAGATTATCAATAAGGAATAACTTGTCATTCAAGAAATGAGCAAATGTCAAAAAATTTGATAGCAAAAAATACTGGTTGCCTTTCTAGGAATTTATTCTAAAGAATATGCACAAGTATATGAAGAAAGGTGAATGTTGTTCACAATAGTCAAAATGAGAAAAATCTAAACATCCATCATAGGTGACTATTTAAAGAAAAAGTCTTTATTCAGATAATTAACAACCATGCAACACAAAAAGAATGAGCTAGAACTATATATGCTGATAATATATTAGAAAATTATTTCTTATGTGGAAAATGTTTTGAAAGGAAAGAAAGGGCAGAATATTAAGTAAAGTACATGCTAACAATTTTTCTATTAGTCTATATGAAAAACTTACTAGTGGAAAGGGGGCCTAACAAGTTAAGGGAGAAAAAGGAGATTTTATCCATTTCATAACCTTTTATGCTATTTGAATATTTTACCATGTTCACCTATAAATTCTAAAACAACTTTAATATTTAAAAATAAATGTAATTTAATGGGGGAAAGAAGAGGAAGGGTCAAGTCAAGGAATATGTATAAAAGACCATCAAGGATAAGGACAATGGAGGGGAAGGATTGAATGTGGGAGAAGGGGGATGGTCAAGCCAGGGGAGAGAAATGGGGGCAACTATAATTGAACAACAATAAAAATTTTTTAAAAATAAAAATAAATGTAATTTAACAACAAAATCAATGTATGTATTCAATCTTGAAAAAAAAAGAAACTCTCTGATACTGATGTGGAAAAAGAAATAACATATAGACTTTTGTTAAGACCAAAATATTTACCATAAATTCCCGGATGACTTCACGTTCTTCTATTTTTTTCTGAAGTATTTTATAACAATCCTTGATGGCTGATTGCTCATGAGAACTGAATATTAATGGCTGAACCCGAGCCAACTGAGCTAACTCCCTTTCAGAAACAATTTGTATACCTAAGAAAGAGAAAAATTCACATTTGTAACTTATTTGTATGTATGTGAAGGGAGATTTTATTGTTGTTGTTTTCTTTTAAGTAAAGGCACGGCTGCTTAAGGATTAATGGAAGTTTATTTTTCAGAGATGAAACGCCTATTGCTTTGAAAGAAGGTATCCTTGTTTTGGAAAAATCATGACTATGTACCTTGTAATTATATAAAACTGTTCTTGGAGAAAACTGTAAGTGCTATAAACATAACAGATGCACTAGACTTAGAAGTGCTCTGCTGTATAATGTGAATTGGGTGTACGTACTGACAATCATGCCAAGGCAAGCATGTGCAAGACCTGGGTGGGAAAAGAGAGACTCTTTCCCTTCCTAGAACCTAGTGTTTGCTAGTCCCTGGAGTCTGAGATGAGAGGGTGTGGAAAGTCTAACACACTTTTCCTTCTAAAACAAATCAAGCATGCATGCACAAAACAGACATGAATAAGGAAGATCTATATGATGTGATCAGTAAAGCTAAAAATAGACATATACTATTATAATTACATATAATATATTTTATATAGTTACATGCTTAGAAGACAATACTTTGTATTTACTAATACACACAGAATTTTTCTTTTTCAAATCATGATCTTTTAGATCATGTTGACAGTCTAGATTTCACATGTCTGAAATTTTATACATCATGTCCACTGACAAAAATGTAATAAATCTATAAATACTAAAAGAATGTTTTTAAAATTTCAGAATTTTAAAGCAAAAAGACCAAGTGAAACCAGTTCTCTAAATCTCTGTCCAAAGACAAATAATATAAACTAAAAGTCCATTTAGTTTTTTCCATAAAATAAAAGACATTTTTCATTTTCACCAATAATTTTATTGATTTGGATATTTTGAGTATGTCAGCTATCTCTGACTATTGGCTTCTAGTGGATAGAGGCCAGGGATGTTGCTAAATATCTTCCAATGCATAAGACAGCCCCACAGTAAAGAACTATTTGGCCAAAATGTCAATAGTACCAAGAAACCTCACAAACCACTTTTGATATGTTCAATCAGTCACAGAACCTTCTCCATACACTTCACAAATCCTTTTTTCTTTTTTTTCCGTTTCAGTTGCATTTTTATCCTTCTTGAAATAATTAAGCATAATATGCCAAAAATGTTGTGTATTTTCTTCCATCTTCAATGTTAAAGTGGCTGCACAAAAATTCACCAATTTTGATGTTTTTAAAAAATGCCACTGACATGACAGCTGTCACAATACAATCTAACAAAATTGTTTTGAATGAAGTTAAAGACAACTTAGAACTACTATCTTATGGAAAAAACTAAACAAACTTTTTGTTTAACTCCAGTAAAATCAAGTTAATACCAGCAAAATTATACAAGAAGCAATTAAGCATAATAATGGGCATTAAAAAAATGGAAGTTTCTGAAAACCTGCACAGGCTTGGGAAACTCATCTTGTCTTGGAACACTACTACATGTAAAAGCCTTCTGTAGGGGTGGGAGTGAAGGCCTTTGGGTTGGGAGAAACATACACAGAAATCCTAAAAATTTTCACAGATATCTCTAACTTTAGTATGAGATGAGGTCTAGGAAGTCCAGAAGGAGAGATAAAATACCTACAAGAGCAGAAGCCATTTGATCATCCTTGATTCCCAAGAGAAAAACACTTAGAGCTTTTCATTGTGTTTTAGCCTTTAAAAAAATAAAAAAGCTGAGCAAAGGCAGAAAGGAAAGGAAAGACAAGATAGAATGACTGCAATGGACACTGTCAGTGACTCCCCAAAACTGATTCTACCCTGATGGTTAGTTAAAGCCTTTTGTGATCATTCCACAATAACTCCTTTGCCAGTGAATAATTCAGCAATAGGTAGGAGATTTGGGCCAAGGGGAAGGAAGGAGAAGTTTATTCGGGATTTATGGGCAAGAGAATCAAGCCTCTGTCCCACCTCCATCGCCTGGCTAGACATAAGCACAGAAGCATAAGGCCCTGATTATCACAAGCAGCCCTATTGTGACCAAAAAAAGAATGAGCTGAGTATAACAAACACGAAAAAAAAAACCACATTAAAAAAATCTATGTTCTTGATGAAGTCACTGAGCAACAAATCATAGTGAACCTGGAATACTTCCTACCTCTGATCTCCATTACAAAAGAAAATATATTTCTTTATTGTTAATGCCATTTTGAATTTGGTTTCTTTTTACTGCAGCCTGGTCCAAGAATTCCAAAAGGCTGTATAGGTCGGACTTCACTGTAGGTAATGGAAATCATTACAGAGAGATGTTATCTAGCTAGTTGGTGCTAACAACATCATTGGGTGGATTTAAAACACGGGTACTTCCCTCATTATGACCCAAAAATAACACAGCAGGATGGTCTGACAAGAAAAGTGCTACCTTTGCCAGGAGGAGGAATCTGAGGAAGCTGGACACTGTAGCTCTAACCCTGGCTCCTGGATGATACTACCTTAGCAATCATGAAAGACTTAGAAAGTCATCACCACAACCATTGGCTCTAGTAATGTACCACCTTACCTGTAATGATGCACCAGGAATGCCATGCTTCTCTACATATTTAAGTCTTGGCTAAGATGCAGATGATTCTCTACACATTTATGTCCTGGCTACGTGCATATGATTGGTCAAACCCTAGCTACCAGAATGTCAGGAATGTAATTTTTGGTTTTCTTGCCTGGTCCATTCAGTCAGGTACATGAGGAGGGTGTAGTCAATGCTGAGTAAGCTGATCTACAACATATTCCACATAACAATTCAACCACATCCTTCAGATTTCTGCTCATTTTCCGTCAACCCTCCGACACATACTATTGTCCTTGGGCAAATTCCAGTCCTCAAAGTGTAGTTTACAAAGAAAGAATTTAGATTCAAGTTAAATGGAATGAGAGTCAAGAAGAATTCATTCATGCTCAATTAGCAAAATCAAAGAGATGTAGAGCTAGCTATACATGTTAGTGAACAAGATAGAAATAAAACATGAGGTGAGGGAAAAAATGAGTAATGTAAATAGTATGCAAAATATTTTAATCCATTCTGAATGAAACATAAATTGTAGATCTACCATCTTAGAAACAAGTAATAAGAATATGAATTATTTTGAATAGTAAGACAAAATGAGATAGAGACAAATGTATTTGAAAAAATAAATTAATTAAAAAAATATTTTTCTCATGTGGAAAAGTCTACTTGGAACACTCTCAAGTATATGAAGCATTCATTGATGTCACTTCACCTTTAAGTCTGGACAGGATTCCTGTATGGGCCAAAGTGTCCAAATTTACCATAAGATTCTCCATTTATAAACATTTATACAGCATATGTCCTATACTATTTCAAATATAAAACAAGAGCTATGTTCTAAAAAAAAAAAGAGTAATAAACAAAACTATAGAGCTTAAAAAAAATAAGATGAAAATTTTATAGACCTAATAAAGGCCAAAAGAACATTACTATAGAGCTAATAATTAAATTAAACACTGCAATAAAGAAGATAAAAATCGACTTATTTATAGAACAAAGACATGTATACATAAATTAATGGAAAAAAAAGAAAAGGGGAAAAAAACAAAAGATAATGAATACAATGACCTCATCAGAAGCTCAGAAGAAAAACTGGAGATAAGGAGAGGAACTCAGGAAACCCCTCCTCAGCATGCAAGCTCGGACACAGAAGCATTAGCTTCTGCAGGAAAGGCATGAAGCTCCAGCCAGTTGCTTTTATCCTGTCTAGCCTAGGGATCAAAAGCATACGAAGTTGGAAAAAGGGCAGTAAACCCTATCACCCTTAAAGCACAGGTTAAGACCCCCTACATTAGGGACAGAGAAGGTAGAAAAGCATTCTGGACTCTGACCATAACATATCCCCTACCTCTGAAGAAAGGGCAGAATAACTGAGAAGGCCACCTTCCCAGGGACATGCATACGAACAAGGCTGACCAAGGACAACAGAGAATGACACTCCCATCTACAACCAAATTAGCAAGCAACAGAATTACAAGTAAGAGCATTATATTGTTAAGGAAAGGACCAGGCTGTGGATAGAAACTTTATCTTAGGTGCAGGTCCAACGGGGAGATCTAAACTAAAGGGTAGAATAGGAATTGAGGTAAACCATCTGGGATGCCATTTTTTATTCTAAGCACAACATAACAATATCAGAACTTGAAACTGGTAGTGCACTGAGAGTTGCCACAGCAACATAAAAACCCAAACCCCATTCAATTCCTAACTAAATTGATTCAACTCCTTACACTGAACACCTACCAAAGGAAGAGGCATGTCCATTCCTATTTACCTCAGGCTCTGGAATACAAGATACCGAGATTTCAACAACAGTAAAAATTACGTGGCACACAAAGAAGAAAGAAAAAATAAAATCAAACTGTCAGGGGACAAAGCAATCAACAGAACCAGAAGAGGTATGATGTTGATGTTAAAAATATCAGACATTTAATTTAAAATAAGATCAATGATTAAAGACTTTAGTGGAAAAAGTGGACTACATGAATGAACAAATGGAGAATTGCATCAGAGAGATAGAAAGCATAAGAATGGAGCAAAAATGCTAAAAGTGAAAAACACTGTAATAGAAATAAAGAATGCCACCAATGGGCTCATCAATAGGCTTGATACCAGAAAGAAAAGAATCAGAAAACTTAAAAATAGGTCAATAGGCATTGCCCAAACTGAAAGAGAAAGAAGAGTGGGGGAGAGGAAAGTACAGAGAGACCACCGAAGAGCTACAGGCCTATATCAAACAGATTCCTGTGATTGGAATCTCAAATTTGGGAAAATTGGGGGTGGAGGGGAAAAAAGGGGAGGGGGGAGAAAGAGAGAGAAGAATATTTGAAATGATAATCGTTGAGGATTTTCCAAAATGAATGAAAGATACCAAGTCTCAGATCCAAAGGCTCATCATAAAAAATACAAGTCAGAAGACAAACCAGAATCCTATAACCAACAAAAATATCATCCTGAAAAATAAACACTTTTATAGACAAACAAAAACTGAGAGAAGTCATTAGCAGCAAACTTGCACTGTAAGAAATGCTCAAAGATCTTTAGGCAGAAGGAATATATTGTAGAACAGGAAACTGAATCAATACAAAGAAATGAGTAGTTCTGAACCTTTCATAAATGTAATTTTTTCCTTAATTTTTACTTCTCTGAAGGATAACAGACTATTTAACACAAAAATGATAAATATATATTTTAGGATTATTGTTATATGAAATTGAACAATTTGATAACAATTGTAAAAAAGGATGAATGGGAGAAATAAGTAAGACAGTATTGTAATTAGGAAGACAATATATTATGTGAACTGTTATATTATTTGAATAACAGAAAAGATAGACTGGGAAAATTTAAAATGTATATTGTAAATTCCAGGGTAACCAAAAAAATATGTTTAAAGAAGTATAAATAAGACAATTGGGAAGATAAAATGAAATCATAGATTCATCTAAGGCAGAAAAATGGGAAAAAAGATTTAAAAATAAAAGGAATAAATAAAAAATAATTAGCAAATGATAAAGTTAAATCTAACAAGGTAGATATAAAGGCATTCAGTTTAAATATATGAATTAAAGGACAGATATTGGGACAGTGGGTGAAAAAATAGGCCCAACCATATAATGCCTACAAAAAAACACTTTAAATACAAAAACATAAGCAAGTTAAAAGTAAAAAGATGTAAAAATATATACCATAGGAACACTAATAAAAAGAAAGTGGAGTGGCTATATTCATGTCAGAGAATATATCAATAGCAAAATAGACTTCAGAAGAAAAAATTACTAGGGATAAAATAGTAATTACTGGGGGGCAGAAGGGATGAAGAGTAGAGCAAAAAGTATTTTTAGGGCAGTGAAACTATTCTATTTGACACTGTAATAGTGGATATATGCCAATACACGTTTTGTCAAAACTCATAGAATGTACCATACCAAGAGAGAATCCTAATGTAAACTATGGGTTCTGGGTGAAGGTGCCTCAGTACAGGCTCATCAACTACCACAAATAAACCACTCTGATAAGGGATATTGATAGTGCTGGAGAATGTGCATGTGTGGAGACAAGGAGTATATGGAAAACCTCTGTACCCTCTGCCCAGTTTAACTGTAAATGTAAAACTGCTCTAAAAATAAAATCTTATTTTTTTAAAAAAAGATCATTACTAATGATAAAGGGTCAATTTACAGGAAAGACATAACAATGCTAAATACATATATATACCTGACAGAATTTCAAAATACATAAAGACTGGCGATGTTGAAAAAATAAACAGGAAAATTCACAATTATAATTGAAGACTTCAGTACTCTTTGCTCAGGAATCAATGGAACAAGGTAAAAAAAACTGTACCTGACCTAATTGGCCTTTATAAAACACTCCTTCCAACAACAAAATAAAAATTCTTTTCAAGTACACATGGAATCTTTACCACATACACCACACCATATTCTAGGCCAAAAATCAAAACTTCATAAATTAAAAGGAATTAATATAAATTATGCTTTTGGACTATAATGAGATTAAACTTTCCAAATATTTGGAAATCAATATTTTAAATAACATATCTAGAAAATTAATAACACATCTGGAAAAATCCTCTAATGTTTGAAAATTAAAAAGCATACTCCTAAATAACCTCTAAATCAGAAAAAGTCATAAGAGAAATAGAAAATGTCTTTTAAATATTCTTTTTGTAGAATAGATTTATATTTACAAAAATATTAGTAGGGAGTACAGAGTTCCTATAAATCCCATGCTACAGTTTCCCCTATTATTAATAGGGTTTAATAGTTATGAGTATTTCTTCCTTTTTCAGATTTCATATACATTCATATATACAGACACATACACTATATATTTTTGTTTGCTTTTACAGGACATTGAGGACAGTGTCAATTGGCTGAAGAAAAATGAACATCACTTAAACATCAAAAAAAGGACTTTGGCCCTGCCTGGCTAGCTCAATTGGATAGAGCATTGTCACAATATACCAAGGTTGTGGATTAAACCCCTGGTCAGGGTACATACAGAAATTAAATAGTGAATGCATAAATAAGTGGAACAACAAATCAATGTTCTTCATTCTCTTAAAAAAATATCAATAAATAGAAAAAGAGAGAGAAACAGAGACTTTGTATCCTATTTTGGGATGGGGTAAGAGTGTGTTTTTAGTTGCACACAGGATAGTGTATCATCGTTAGAGGATAATTCTTTTTATTTGGAGATTAAGAGATGTGTATGGATGCCAAGTTGACAAGGCATGGACTGTGTTAGCTTCACAATATGTTAATATGGCTAGGCTGAATTACTTTCCCCAAATTTCATTCCCTGAAAGTTTCTAGTTAAGATGGTCAAGGGAGTTCTCATGTGAAATTTGGAAGGCAAACCTGGAACTCATACCCACTGTAGCCAATCTCCTGGCTCACCTCATTCTTCAAATAGTATGGAGAACTTAATGTCAATATGGAATGTGTAGAACTTAATAACCTTCCCATGTCACTCTACTACAAATTTCAAAGGGGTTTACATGATAATGAACAAAATAATTTTAAATTCCATATGTAGCAAAAACTTGCTCAGATAAGCTACAAAAATTTATTTTTAAAAGATTAGGGGTAAGATATGCCTTCTAGATATTACTTAGAACTACAATAATCAAAATAAAATAGCATGTTCACAGGAACAAACAAGTCAATCTGGTGGAAAACATTGGAGAAAGGGAGACATTTTGGGGAACTTAATATGAAAGTCATGAAAGTATATTTAAATTCAGTTGTGTAAGGTGGTTTATTTAGGTAATGGTACTGGTATAATTGTCTAGTCAGTTTTCTACACCTCTATCATAGTTAGTAATTAACTGCAGATTAGTGACCTAGGCAGAATGAATGCATGGAAGGAAGGAAGTGAGGGAGGGAGGGAGGGAGGGAGGAAGGAAGGGATGGAGGGAGGGAGGAAGGGAGGGAGAATTCTGGGAAAAACTTAGGAGAGTATTTGTGTATTCTTCCAGTAAAGACCTTTTTAAACATTTTAGAAACCCAAAATGTTTATGGAGTTTCCATAAGTTCTCCTTATAAAGGTTTCCCTTCTTAAAGAATGGAGTAGGAGGAGAATTTATAATATATTTGTCAGACAAACGAGGTGTTAAGACTTTGTACATGTAAAAATTTCCTAGAAATTACCCCATATTTTGCTGTATATAATGCATACCCATGTTTTTGTGTGCATTATACATGGGATTATTATACCCATGGTATGTAATCATTAGAACTATGTATAATATACATCCTCATTTTTTCCTCAAAAGTTTGGGCAAAAAAGTGCGCATTATACATGGCAAAGTACAGTAACAAGAAAAAAGTGGACAAAGAATGTAAACATGCCAATGAAAGAAAGGCTAATAAACATACAATACGATACTTGCTCTCACTAGCAATCAGGACCACGTAAGTTAGAGTAATAAAGAAGTGTTATTTTTCATCCATCAGATTGGCAAAAATTAGAAAAAGAGTTATCTAGGTATGATAAGAATGTTGGAAATAGGACCCTTCCAAAATGAGCAACAATAAATTGCTCTAGCCTTTTGGAAAGGAATCTAGTATTATTGCCTACTAAAATACAAAATAAATATATACTTTGAGTTAGAAATCCTCTAACCAAAATAAATACACCAGTAAATAAGAAACATGTATAAAGTATGTATTACAGATTAGTAATAAAAATGACAAAAGGAGGGTAGGTGAATTTATTATAATATTTCTACATAATAGAATATTAGGCAGCCGTTAACATGATAGAATATACATTAACATATATACAAGGCATAATTTGTTTAAGAAACAAAGTTATAGAGTATAATTTTTATTTAAACTTTAAACAGAAAATCTGTTTTTGTGTTCATAGAGAAACTATTAGTATTTGTTAGCACTGAGTCAAGATTTCAGATGATAAAAAGAAATTGTTAACTTTTCTTTATATTTTGTTGTATCGATTTTTATTGATACAAGCACATATTGTTTATAATTTATTTTTTGAATTTGGACTTTCAAAATATTTTATTAAGTATTGAGTAGTTACAAAATTAATAGTTAAATAAAATATCTTTAAGGTATAAAATATTAAAAATATACTACCCAATTTAGTAAAGAACATTAGCATCGCCTCATGTCCCCATGTACCTTCCTCTCCTCCCTCAGGAATAACCACTATTCTGAATTATGCCATCATTCCTTTGATTTTGTTTGTTTTGTTTACCACATATGCTGTTTTGAATATTCTGCAAATTTATACATATGGAATCATATTTTCTTTTAAATGTTGACTTTTATGCTGAGACTACACCAAGAAGAATTTGTTCATTTTCAAAGTATACAAATATACCACAACTAATTCATCTATTCTGTGTTGAAGGACATGTGAATTTTTTACAGTTTATGGATACTACAAATAAGGACAGTATTAATATTCTTGCATATGTCTTCTGGTGCAAAAGGGAAAGAATTTCTCTAAGCTAAATAATTAGCAACGGAAATGCTAGGGCATAGGGTATGTGCATATTAAAAATGCTATTATTTTTTATTATTCCCTGTGCTCATGAATAATGACTACTGTCATACATTTTTAATTTTTAACTATCTAGTCAGTAAAAATTATTATTTCACTGTGGTTTAATTTTCACTTCCCTGATTCAAAATTAGGTTGAAACCTTTTCATATTTCCTCTTTTGTGAAGTGCCCATTGCTGTTGGTTCTGTCTTGGTCAACTTGGGCTGCCATAAAAAATTACCATAGACTGGGTAACTTAGACAAAAAACATTTCTTATAGTGTTGGATATTAGAAGTCTAAGGCTGTGGTGCCAACATGGTTGGGTTCTTAGTGAATACTCTCTTCCTGGTTTACAAATGACTGCTTTCTTCCTGAATTTTCACATGGAAAGGGCACTCTAGCTCCATCATCCCTTTACAAGGGCACTGATCCCATAATGAAGGCTCTACCCGCATGATCTCATTCAAACTCAGTTACATTAAGTCCATAGCATCCCACCCCTTGCCCCCAAAGTTCACGTCTTCTTGCATGCAAAATACATGCATTCCATCCCAAGAGCTCCAAAAGACTTAACTTGTCATCAACTCTCAAATCTAAAACCCAAAGTCTAACATAAGAATCATCTAAATCAGATATGGGTGAGAAGGGAGGTAAGAATCAACATGAGGCAATATTCCTCTCCAGTTGTAAGCCTATAAAGCCAGACAAGTTAACTGTGTCCAAAAATATAATGAAGGGACAGGCATAGAATATACATCCCAATTCAAAAAGGGAGAAATGGGAAGGAAGAAAAGATGACAAGTAAGTCCAAAATCTAGCAGGGAAAACTCTATTAGACCGTAAGCCCCAAGAATAATCATCTTTGACCTGATGCCCACTGGGGCAGCAGTTCAACCTCCCTGGCTCTGCTGTGCAGTGATTATGGTCCTGCCACCATAGCTCTGGGCAAGATGCTTTTTGCAACTGAGGATAAGGCAGCTCTGCCTCCGCTATCCCCTCCCCCCTCTTAATATACCCTGGGCCTGTAGTGGGAATGGCAGCCCTGATGATTTCTGAATGACTTACTGGCCATTCTTTTCTTGCTCTGAAAACAGGGCCTGGTTTCCTGTTGAGATGGCTTATTAGGTCCCTGACTCATACCGATACTACTTTCCCTATCAAACTTTCTCTTTTTTTGCCATCTGGATAGGCTGAGAATTTTCCAAATATTTAAGTTCTGGTTCCTTTTTGCTTAACAATTCTATCTTCAATTCATATCTCTCTTCTCACATTTTACTATGAACAGCTGGCAGGAAGCAAGCTGATGATTCAACAATCTCCTTAGGAATTTTCTCACATGTAGAACAGGCTGGTTCCATATCCACATGTGGTGGATAAAAATTCAGGAGGGGATTCTCAGGAGCAATGAGTCGCAGCCCCACACCAAGGCTCCCCAGCCCAGGGTTCCAGTGCCAGGAAGATAAGTCTCCATAACTTCTGACTATAAAAACCATTGAGGATCAAGTTGGTAGAAGAAACTTCAGGAGTCCCAAGGAGTTCCCCTTAAAGAACTCACACATGGACTGACTCAGACTAACTCCCTCTGATTGCCACCACTGGGGTAGCAGCTTGAAAAACACCAGTGGCATGCAGAGAGGAAGAAGTGTTTGGCATCAAGGCAGGAGCTGGGGGACAGTTTTCTCCCAGATAGAAAGGCAGGCATAGGCCATTTTTCCTTTTCTAAGCATTCCCTCAACAAAGCCACAGAACTGATAGGCAGGTGCCATATCTTATGCTCCATCAACCTAGCTAACACTGTTTGCCCCACTGTAGAGAGCCCCAAGACCTCCAATCAACTTATGGACCCAACCAAACTATTAACCATGACTTTTCCGTATAAATGGATGGTCTTGGTCTATGCTTCACAACTTCCTAAATCTTATCAAACAAGCAACAGCCGGCCTCAGTGAGCCCCCAGCTACTGTACCATTTGCTAAGTGGCCCCAGGCCCAGGACTAGCAGCAGCCAGCCTAGATTCACAGTGTGGCTTTGCCTGGGAATCTCCAAGCCCAGGACAAGTAGCAGCCATCTCAGATTGCTTTATACCTCAAGCAGGGTGGCTACAGGTGGAACACAGGTGGGGATTGACCTTGGCCTGCACCACCTGGGAAACCCCAGAGCCTGCACACCCAGTGGACAGCTACAAACCATGTTGGGGCACCACAACCCTGCCCCTACACAGCTGATCCTCCACAGAGGGTGGACATTGGTGGTAAGTGGTCACAGTCAGTCCTTGAAGCTGACTGGCCTTGGTAAGTCCTTCCTATTTACCTGCCAACAGCAATCAAGGCTCAACTACAAGAGGATGGTGTACTCAGCTCACATGGAGAGTACACTTCAAGTACCCAGTTTGGGTGATAGGGGAGGTTATGCCACTGGATCCTATAGGATACCTACTATATTAGGCCATACTACCAAGACAGAGTAATAGCAGCTCTACTTATTCATAGATACAAACACAGGGAGGCTGACAAAATGAGGAGACAAAGAAACATGGCCCAAATGAAAGAACATATCAAAACACCAGAAAAAGAACTAAACAAAATGGAGATAAGCAATCTGCCAGATGCGGAGTTCAAAACACTGGTTATACAGATGCTCAGGGAACTTAGTGAGGACCTCAACAGCATAAAACAGATCCAGTGAGAAACAAGGGATACACTAATTGAAATAAAGGACAATTTACAAATAAAAAAAAAATCAAAACAGGAAGAAAAAGAATCCAAAAAAATGAGGATAGTGTAAGCAGCAGCTGGGATCGCTTCAAATGGTGCAACATTCACACCTTAGGAGTGCCAGAAGAAGAAGAGAAAGAGCGAGAAATTGGAAATCTATTTGAAAAAATAATGAAAGAAAATTTCCATAATTTGGTAAAAGAAATAAACATGCAAGTCCAGGAAGCACAGAGTCCCAAACAAGATGGACACAAAGAGGCCCACTCCAAGATACATCATAATTAAAATGCCAAAGGTTAAAGATAAAGAGAGAATCTTAAAAGCAGCTAGGGAAAAGCAGTTAGTTACCTACAAGGGAGTTCCCATAAAACTATGAGCTAATTTTTCAAAAGAAACTTTGCAGGCTAGATTGGCAAGAAAATTTCAAAATCATGAAAAGCAGGGACTGTCAGATCCAAGATGGAAGAGGAGTAAGTGGAAGGTACGCTAACCTCTTTCCAGGGCCAACCTGGAATTACAACTAAATTTTAGAGAAATCACCCAGAATAACCAACTGAACACTAGCTGGAGGGGAGCCTTATAACCATGGACAGACAGGAGAAACCACTTCACCACAACAAGACTAGAAGATAGTGTGGAGGAGGCTCAAGAGGGCTGGCTATACTCCCATGGGCAGAAGTTGAAGTTCTGGAGGTATATTTCAGTATCCTTGGGGTTTCTGCTGAGAAGTGCGGGGTCTAAACTCCAAATGGGGCTTCCCAGCCTACATCACAAGAGCCAGAAAGGAATCCAGATAACATCCAGATGAAAAAAGCAGCAGGGTTTCTGTCTGCCAGGGATAGATGGCTGGAGATGCAGAGAGCCTCCCAAAGGGCCAACAGATAAAATTTCATATGTAGCCACTTGTGCTGGGCTCTGGCAGAAGGGCGGAGCAGAATAGAGACGCTTGAAGAGAATATGGGAATGATGGCTCTGGAGAGGGAGTTGAAGGAGTAGCCACCAGGATCCCTGTGCTGAGTCATTCCCCATATTGCAGGAACCATCTCTCTCAGGCAGGGTACTCCTCTCCAAGTGGCATCAGCCTAAGGGGTAGCAATAGCCCTGCCCACGGGAAGAATTCTGCCCTGCCTTGTGGTGCTTAAGCCTGGCTGCTGATTACAGCTTCATTAGATTAACAATTGATCAGCTTAATGGCTGATTAGTTTAACAACTAAGGTGGAAAATACAAAGAAGCAGATAAAATGGGAAGACAAAAAAAAAACAGACCCCAAATGGAAGAACAAGAGAATTCTTCAGAAGAACTAGATGAAATGGAGGCAACCAATTTATCAGATAGAGAGTTTAGAGTAATAATTATAAGGATACTCAACAGCATAAAAAAAGACATAGACACCATAAAAAAGGACCAGTTAGAAATGATGAATGCAATATCTGAAATAAATAATGCACTGGAAGGAATAAACAGTAGGTTAGATGAAGCAGAGGATTGAATCAGTGTTTTGGAAGATGAGGTAGGAAAAACACCCAGGCAGAGCAGCAAAAAGAAAAAAGAATTTTAAAAAATGAGGAGAGCTTGAGAAACATTTTGGAAAATGTGAAGCATAACAGTATCCATGTCATGGGAATACCAGAATGAGAAGAGAGCAAGCAAGGGATCGAGAACCTATTTAAAGAAATTAGACTGAAAACTTCCTTTGTCTGGTGAAGGGAACAGACACACAAGTCCAGGAAGTACAGTGGATCCCAAACAAGTTGGACCCAAAGAGGCCTACACAGAGATACATCATAATTAAAATGACAAAACTTAAAGACAGGGAAAGAGTCCTAAAAGTTGCAAGAGAATAGCAGGTAGTTACCTACAAGGGAGCACCAATTAGACTGACATCTGATTACTCAACAGAAACATTTCAGGCCAGAAGAGAGTAGCATGAAATATTCAAGGTAATAAAAAGCAAGGACCTACGACCAAGGCTACTTTACCCAGTAAGGGTATCATTTAAAGTTAAAGGAGAAATAAAGGAGCTTCCCAGACAAGAGAAAGCTAAAGGAGCTTGTTAACACCAAACCAGTACTGTAACAAATATTAAAGGGCTTGTTTTAAGAAGAAAAAGAGTTCACCTGTTAGCGGAACCTAATCAACAAACCAAACAAACAAGCAAAATAAAACCAGCGACACTGAAATAAAAAACAAACTGACAGCTACCAGGAGAGAGGCAGGAAAAGAAGAGTAGGGAAAAGAAGGGGAAAGGTTGTCAAGGAACATGTATAAAGGACCCACAGACAAAGCCAAGGGGGTAGGAAGGATTAAGGGAGGGAGGTGGGAGTGGGTGGGGTGGGGTAAAGTGGTGGCAAGAAAATGGAGACAACTGTACTTGAACAATAAAAAAAATTAAAAATAAGAAAAAAAGAAAAAGAGGAAGAAAAAAAATCCTCATAGATCTATATGCTAAAAGAGTGAATTTTACCATATGTAAATTACACTTCAATATTTTAAAAGTATTTTCTTATAAACTAATTTTGTGTGAGACTTGTATTTTAATAATTGCATAGTGTGATAATGTCTTAATAAGATTTGACATTTTTTATTTATTTATTTATTTATTTTTTTTATTAATTTATTTACTTTTTAAATACATTTGTCTCTGCCTTCCCCCCCCCTTTCCCTTGCCCCCTCCCACCTTCCCTCCCTCAGCTCTTCCCCTTTGGTTTTGTCCATGAGTCCTTGCTATATGTTCCTTGACTTTCCCCTTCCCTTCCCTTTCCCTGCCCCCCCCTTCCCTCTTGTCTCTGTTGATTTCTTTTCCTTTCAGTGTTGCTGGCCATATTTGCCTTGCTTCTTTGCATTGTTGGTTAGGTTCCGCTTATAGGTGAGATCATATGGTATTTGTCTTTCGCCCCCTGGCTTATTTCGCTTAGCATGATGCTCTCCAGTTCCATCCATGCTGTTGCGAAGTTTAGTACTTCTTTTTTCTTTCTGCTACGTAGTATTCCATTGTGTATATGTACCATAATTTTTTGATCCAATCATCTACTGATGGGCATTTAGGTTGCTTCCAACACTTGGCTATTGTAAATTGTGCTGCTATGAACATTGGGGTGCATAGGTTCTTTTGTATTGGCGTTTTGGTGTTCTCAGGGTATAGTCCCAGCAGGGGAATCGCTGGATCAAAAGGCAGTTCCATTTTCAGCTTTCTGAGGAAATTCCACACTGCTTTCCATAGTGGCTGCACCAGTCTGCATTCCCACCAACAGTGGACTAGAGTTCCCTTTTCTCCACAGCCTCGCCAGCACCTGTTGTTTGTGGATCTGTTTATGATGGCCATTCTGACCGGTGTGAGGTGGTACCTCATGGTGGTTTTGATCTGCATTTCTCTAATGGCTAGTGATGCAGAGCATCCTTTCAAATGCCTCTGGGCCCTCTGTATCTCCTCCTTAGAAAAGCATCTGCCCAGGTCCTTTGCCCATTTTTTGATTGGATCGTTTGTCTTCTTGGAGTAAAGTCGAGTGAGTTCTTTGTATATCTTGGAGATCAAACCTCTATCTGATGTATCATTAGCAAATATATTTTCCCAAATGGTTGGCTCCCTTTTCATTTTGCTGATGTTTTCTTTAGCCGTGCAGAAGCTTCTTATTTTGATGAGGTCCCACTTGTTTATTCTTTCCTTTATGTCCCTTGCTTTAGGAGACATATCAGTGAAAAAATTGCTGCGTGGGATATCTGAGAGTTTCCTGCCAATGTTCTCCTCTAGGACTTTGATGGTGTTGCGACTTATATTTAAGTCTTTTATCCATCTTGAGTTTATTTTTGTGTATGGTGTCAGCTGATGATCCAATTTCAATTTTTTGCATGTAGCCATCCAGCTCTCCCAACACCATTTGTTGAAGAGGCTGTTATTGCTCCATTTTATGCTTCTGCCCCCTTTGTCAAATATTAGATGTCCATAGAGACCTGGGCTTATTTCTGGGCTTTCTATTCTGTTCCACTGGTCTATGGGTCTGTTCTTGTGCCAGTACCAGATTGTTTTGAGTATAGTGGCTTTGTAGTAGAGTTTGATGTCCGGTATTGTGATCCCTCCTACTTTGTGTTTCTTTCTCAAAATTGCTGCAGCTATTCGAGGTCGTTTATGGTTCCATATAAATTTTTGAAATGTCTGTTCTATTTCTGTGAAATACGTCATTGGTATCTTAATAGGGATTGCGTTGAATCTATAAATTGCTTTTGGTAGTATGGACATTTTAAGGATATTAATTCTTCCAATCCATGAGCACGGTATATGCTTCCATTTATTTGTGTCTTCCTTAATTTCTTTTTTCAATGTTGTATAGTTTTCTGCATACAGGTCTTTTGTGTCTTTGGTTAAATTTATCCCTAGGTACTTTATCTTTTTTCGTGCTATATCGAATGGTATATTTTTTCTGATTTCTTCTTCTTCTATTGCATTGCTGGTGTACAAAAACGCCTTTGATTTCTGAATGTTGACTTTGTATCCTGCTGTTTTGCCAAATTCACTTATTAGGTTGAGGAGTTTTTTGGTAGAGTCTACAGGGTTCTCTATGTACACTATCATGTCATCTGCAAACAATGATAGTTTTACTTCCTCCTTTCCTATTTGGATGCCTTTTATCTCTTTCTCTTGTCTGACTGCTGTGGCTAGGACTTCCAATACGATGTTGAAAAGAAGCGGTGAGAGCGGACATCCTTGGCGTGTTCCCGATCTTAGTGGGAAAGCTTTCAGTTTTTGCCCGTTGAGTATGATATTGGCTGTAGGTTTTTCATATATGGCCTTTATTACGTTGAGGAATGCCCCATTGATTCCCATTTTGCTGAGTGTTTTGATCATAAATGGGTGCTGTACCTTGTCAAATGCTTTTTCTGCATCTATCGAGATGATCATGTGGTTTTTGTCTTTTCTTTGATTTATGTGGTGTATCACGTTTACTGATTTGCGTATATTGAACCATCCCTGCATCCCTGGGATGAATCCCACTTGATCGTGATGGATAATCTTTTGAATGTATTGCTGGATGCGGTTTGCCAATATTTTGTTGAGGATTTTAGCATCTATGTTCATCAGCGAAATTGGCCTGTAGTTTTCTTTCTTTGTATGGTCTTTATCTGGTTTGGGGATCAGGGTGATGCTGGCCTCATAGAAGGAGTCTGGCAGTCTTCCCTCCTCTTGGATTTTTTGGAATAGTCTGAGAAGGACAGGGGTTAGCTCTTCCTTAAATGTTTTGTAAAATTCTCCTGGGAAACCGTCTGGCCCTGGACTTTTGTGTGCTGGGAGTTTCTTGATTACTGCTTCAATTTCCCCAACTGTTATCGGTCTGTTCAAGCTTTCTGTTTCTTCCTCCTTCAGTGTTGGAAGATTATACTTTTCTAAAAATTTGTCCATTTCATCCAGATTTTCAAATTTCTTGGCATATAATTGTTCATAATAGTTTCTGATGATCATTTGTATTTCTGTGGTATCAGTTGTTATTTCTCCTCTTTCATTTCTGATATTATTAATTTGGGTCCTCTCCCTTTTATTCTTGATGAGTCTGCTTAAAGGTTTGTCCACTTTATGAATCTTTTCAAAGAACCAGCTTCTGGATTGGTTGATCCTCTGAATTGTTCTTTTTGTCTCTATGTCATTCAGTTCTGCTCTAATCTTGACTATTTCCTTCCTTCTACTTGCTCTGGGATTTATTTGTTGTTGTTTCTCCAGTTCTTCAAGTTGTAGTGTTAGGTCTTTTATTTGAAATGTTTCTATCTTTTTAACGTAAGCCTGTATTGCTATGAACTTCCCTCTCAGGACCGCCTTTGCTGTGTCCCATAGGTTTTGGACAGTTGTCTGTTCATTTTCATTTGTTTCCAGAAATTTTTTGATTTCTTCTCTTATCTCATTATTGACCCATTCATTGTTTAAAAGTGTACTGTTCAGTCTCCATGAGTTTCCAAGTTTTTGAAGTTTCTCTTTGAGGTTGATTTCGAGTTTCAAGGCCTTGTGGTCTGAGAAAAAGTTTGGTATTATTTCAATTTTCCTGAATTTACTGAGGCTTGCTTTGTGTCCTATCATGTGGTCTATCTTTGAAAAACTGCCATGAGCATTTGAAAAGAATGTGTATTTTTCTTCTTTGGGATGTAAGATTCTATATATGTCAGTTAAGTCTCTTTGATTCAGTGTTTCATTCAGCTCCACGATATGTTTATTAATGTTTTGTTTGGAAGATCTGTCCATTTTGGACAGTGGGGTGTTGAAATCCCCTACTATCAGTGTGTTGCTATCTATATCTTTTTTGAAGTCATCCAACAATTTCCTTATAAACTTGGGGGCTCCTATATTGGGAGCATATAAGTTTACAATATTGAAGATTTGACATTTTTTAAATTAAAAAGTCATTAGAGAAGATGTTCTGGCACTTGATGGGAGGTTGAAATGGATGATCTCTAAAATTCTATCAAACTCCAAAGTTTTTGAGGCATATATGTATGACCCCCTCCAATCTCATCCACAAAATTTTTATATACATATATGAATGAATATATTCATTTATGGTTATATGTATGTTTGTATTATATATAAATGTAAATATATATGCACAGAAAAAATTGGAATATTCTTCAGTATTGAGTTATTATATTATGCATACTTATACTTTTCTTTTTCTCCCACAATATGTGATTATGTGTAATCCAAAAAAAGTTATTATTTTACTTACAAAGTACATACTGTGCAACAAATTAAAATTAGGTAAATGAGAGAGGTCATATTCAAGTCTATACAGATCTAAAATCTCTAGTTTAAGAAAATATAAAATAGCTCATTTTAACATTCCATGTTTGATATATTAAAATATTTAAAGAATAGAAATTTGCCCATATGAATGTGGAGTGTGCAGCATTTTTTTCATTTTTAAAAGAAAAGCCTAGAAAACCATGTTTCCCCCATTTTAAAAAGTTTTCCTAGCTCTTTCCTGCATTACATTATAAATTTCTTTGCACATACATCTTAAACATAGCCTCTTGAAGAATTTGGAAATAGAAATAGGATGAAGTCATACCATGCAGATGAGAAGAAACAGTCTGGGATGGCCCTGCAAGCTCATCCTCACTGCTATACTTGTCTCTTAGGAAGGAGCCACTGGCTGTCCACATACTATGCTCACTCTCACTAGAAAATAAATTTGCATAGTGTTAATGGTGTCAAAGAATGTACACATTTTAAAATATCTGATAATCCACAGTAATTATTAAATTGACACTCACCTCCATTTCAACTCAGTCACCCACTTCCATTGTCTGCACCTGGAACTGGCCCACTTCCAAAGAGATAATTCCAAAATCCCAATATCTGATCACAAACTCCATCTTCTCCCACTTTTACCTGCCTTGCAAACAAGCCACCTTGGATCTATCTACCTAGTCACTTTCTTTCCTCCTTTACTCAGGCTGTGGGAAAACAGTACTAGAGTTACTGGGCTTTCTAATACCAGCCCAGAGCCATTTGGAAAACATTGGTGTGTATCTCTGTTTCTTTTCCTCTACTCCTCCTCCACTACAGCTAATTCTGAACTACCACCCTCATGCAGTCCCTATCTTAATTCTCTGTTATAGCAAAAATGCAACCCCTTCTAGAAAATGCAGGCCAGAAACATGAACTCTTTCAACTTACTTATAAAATGCATACTTAGAAGTACCAACATTCTTCATTCTTCCTTACATTCTTCCTGTTCAGAATTAATCCTTCCAAATTCTCAACTACCATGAATCCTGTCTCCTCTGAGACATTTTTCTAAAATTTCTTTATACATTATCTTTTCCTATCTACATATTCTTCCATATTATAAAGATACTCTATTCTCTCTCATCTTAAACACTGAAAGTCCTTTAAACTTTCTTTTTTTCTTTCTTTTTTTTTTTTTTGGTGGATCCTCTTTATTATCATTTAGTTTTTAAATGAGTACAACTCCTAGAGGTAATTTGACTTTCCATTTAAAAAAAAATATTTCAGTGCGAAACTTTTTATTTAAGACACAGTAAATGTTGCATGAATGTTGAAAACTTAATCTATTCATATAAGGGATGAAGACATTTCAGATTATTCAATTCAAGGCACAGAATTCATAATGCATCTAGGCAAGAACACTCTATACAATTTTATCATTATTTCCTTTCATATTTCATTGCCAAGCCTGTTGCCTTTGCCTTCCTTCTATATATCTTATCCCTCATTTATCTAATATATGTCCTTTTAGTTTTCTATTCCAATTTTACCCCAAAATGACATTTGCCCCCTCACCAAAAAGATTTCACAAACACTCAGAAACAAAAGATGCTATTTGATATGCTATTTTGTCCTACTTAGGGCTGTAAAATATACCACACTGTTGTTTTAGTTCACATTTATCTTATTAGTGAGATTGAATATTGTTTCATATAATTATTACTATCTACCAATTACATCTTCACTGGCTAGTGCTTCTATTTCTTTGATTGCCTCCTTAGGATCTCCCTAAATTGTAAATAGTGGTGTGTCAGAGGCTCAATATTTGAACACCTTCTCTTCTCAATCTACAATCACTGCTTTGGTTGTTAAAACCACCAGTCCAGATGAGTTCTCCATTTATGTGCTGATGACTTTCAAATTTATATATTCAGGCAGTACTTTTTTTTTCTTTTTTAATAGTCAACTGCCTTCTTTTTTTTAAAAATTTATTTTCTTTATTTTTTCAAATACATTTGTCTCTGCCTTCCCACCACCACCTTCCCCTGCCCCCTCCCTTCTCCCTCCCTCAATCCTTCCCCTTTGGTTTTGTCCATGAGACCTTGCTACACGTTCCCCGACCCTCTCATTCCCTTCCTTCCCCCCCCCATCTTTAAACTTTCTATCACCATCTAACTATTGCTCTATTTCTAAACCATTTTTCAAATACTAATCCACACTCATTTGTTTTCTTTCCAACTTCTTACTACTCATTTTACTTACTTGCGCTGTCTGCTTGGCTCTTGTTGCACTTTTATTTACAACTCAACCTAACAAAAGCTTCTTGATTTGACTTCTTGGTCTAATCTTTAATGTCCAGAGAAAATTCTCCCTAAAATCCAAGTTTTATTATATCAGCCCACCAACTTCAGGATAAACAAATGCTCTTTACTGGACACATAGGTTTAGGATGTTGGCAACGTTGTCTTTGTCTACTTTTTCATTGTCATCTCTACATGCACTTCAAGCTTTGAACTTAACAAAAAAATGCTTTTTTTTTCTTTTGTTTCTGTGGATAATTTCAGGTTTCTTACTGTTTCCCCTTCTCCATTTTCTGCCAGCTACCTTCTACCTTGCTACCAAAAATCCTCCAGATAGACAGATGACTAAAACAAGGACTGTATCTATGCTTTATTTTCATTCTAACAGAATAAAATGTATACCCCTTGGTTTCACACATACCAAGTTCCTTCACACTCTGACTGACTTACATTATATTTTGGCTCTGTCTCTTATCTTCTGAATCTTTCTGGCATTCCAGTTCACACATACCCTACATTCTTGAGACATAACATTTCTCACCATTAAAAAGGTATTTTCACAACTCCTTACCTTTGCTCAAACTTCTGCTCCCAGATTGAAATTTTCTTCTCTCCTTTCACCATCTAGATTTCTATTTATTTAAGACCCTAAATCCAACCAAAATATCTTTTCTCCAAGGACATGGTAAGGAATGCCCCTCTTCCATAGCTCTCTGTCTTCTCTACTCACAGTCCTTGGACTTTGATTCTGTAATAGTTACTACGTTGCATTTAAATTTGTCTTTTTCATGTTTTTCCCTAATTAAACTATAAACTAAAGGGCAAGAACTAGACAGTATTTTGTATTTGTACATAGTGCTCAGTATATAATTAGTATCTATTATATACTATTAGCATATAGTTTGTTATTTAATATACTTCTGAAAGTTGCATATACAAGATTTATACTATACACATTATTATGCAGTACTATCCCAGTGCCTTTAGGTAGTATTACTTAGAAACATCCAAGGAAATATGACTCCAAAAATGTTTCCTTACTTGATATGTTTTTGCATATAACACTTAAATCTTAACATTTTATGAGCAGGAAAGCTGCTGTTTCTTTGGTTTTTCTGATGGAAATTTAATTTGTTCCTGGTTCTTTAATTTTTTTCATACAAAGTACCAGGAATTCACCATGCTAAGAGTCTTATTGTTTCTAGTACATTATTTTTTTCAGAAACATAATTTCTTATAAAGTGTCACTGTGTACTGAGCTTTACCTTACCTCAAGTACAATGGCCCCTCAGAAGCTCTGGACACATTTACAAAGGCTTGGGAACTATGGAATTGCTGAGATGACAGGGAAATTAAAATATGTACTATATTTATTTACATATGTACTATATTTATTTATGTAGTACTATATATGTATAACATACACAAGAAAATATGTATTTCTTGTGTTAATACTATATTCATGAGATCATAAATACATCCTATTTCTAGCCAAATCAAGTTGTCCTTACTACAAAGAGCTATATTTTGAAAAAGATATATTGAACATTTGTCTCCACTCGGAGGGCTAGCTAGCTTTTAAAATGAATAAACAAAAAAACTAAATAAGCACGTTAGTCATACCTTTGTGCAGCTTCTTTAAAGAAATCCTCAGAATCACTATGTTGGATATTCTGAAGGGACAATTTTATCTTCTCTGAGTTAACTTCATTTGCAACAACCTACAAGCATAAGAATAGAACATTATAGCTAAGCTTTCATAAATATATAGATTAAAAGAATGATTTCTATAGCTTTTCAAAAAACAAGAAGTAAAAATTGGCGATTATAAAAACAGTCACAGGAGTATAAAGTACAGCATAGGAAATACAGTCAATAATATTGTGGTAATTATGTGTGGTGTCAGGTGGGTACTAGATTTATCAGGGTGATTACTTTGTAAGGCATGTAAATCTCTAATCACTATGTTGTACACCTGAAACTAATGTATGTCCATTTTAATTTAGATTTTTTAATATTAAAAAACAATAAGGTTTTCCATAACAGAATTAAAACCATAATCACAGTGTGACTTTTACTCCTAGAAAATCACTTGAAATGTGTATCTACCTATTAAATATTTTCTAATCTGTCAAAACAGACTATAGAGTACTATACATATATAAGTGATTTTTATTTAATCACCCAATTTATTTTCCAAAAGTTGATTTTAAAAAATAAGTTTCATTTTTATTAAAAAAAATGATTATGACTTTAGCCCAGAGATTCTTATGAGTGTTGAGTTTATTGTAAATATAACATTCCCAACATTACATTTATCTTTAGAGCTTGTCTCTGCCATGAGATTTAGTACTGCCTGATTGACTTTAGTCAACTTTGTTGCATTTGGAGCCTCTGGTATAGTACCTAACTCACCAGTAAACAAAACTGAATATAATTAAAGGGGAAAAGACATATTAAAATAAAGATTCACTAATCAATATTTTAGCCCTCAATTCTGCTTCAATTAATCTATTCACTCATAGTTTTTTTTTCCCTTGGGGGCCTATTATGTGCAGATATTGTTCTAAATGCTACAGATAAAACACAACAAAAGAGGCTTCTGTTCTGCCCTTGTGGTGCATACATAGTCCCATGGGGAAAGAGGACATACACAAGGAAGCATATAAAAATTACAGCAGTGATAAGTGTTAATGTAGCAACAGAGTATGGTGATGCATAATACCCATGTACCTCAAAAATAAAAGGAAGGGCTAAGCAAAGGAAGCACCCTGAGCAAAATGAGCAGGTTCAAAGTCCAGGCAGCCTTTCAAGGTCTGGCCACTGTCTAATTTCCCATCCTCATCTCTTGCTTCTCAATTTCTCATGCAGCATCTCCAGCTACAGTCTATGTCCTGCCTTTTCATCTTTTTTGAAGTGTTCTTTGATTTTGTAAAACTTGTTAATCTTTCCCCCTCTTGCTAGTTGTATGTATTTTGCTTGATTCCATAAAGCTTCCTAGACCTGAAATACCACTTGCAGGCATATATACAGCCATAATTCCAGAACATGAACCCAAACACAATTTTAAAACCAAGCACATTAAGGGAAAGATATAAACAACTACCCAGAACTCCTATCAAGCATATTCATTTTGCTGAACAAGTTAAAACTTGTAACTTGTTAAGTATTTAACATTAACAAAATAAGCATTGCCTGAAATATAAGGTTAACATGTTTTAGCAATAAATTTATCATTTTAGAATGTATTAACTTCTGGTAGATTAGCCAATTGCTGTTTTAAATAATATATAAAACATAAATTTTAAAAATCCTTCCCTATGCAAGTAAGAAAAATATTAATTCTCATATATTTTTCTAAAATATTTTAAGCTTTGCTTTAAATATTTGGGGATTAAATTCACCAAGACTCAATTTCAGTGTAAAGTGTACTTTGTCTCTGTGTTCAACTACCAACAGTGATCTTGCATTCAACTGGACATTGTTAAGACCTGATCGCCACACCTGACACTAAAGAATACAGATGAGGAACCACAACACGGCAGCAGGACAGCCTTACACTTGCCCACATCAGGAGTTCTAACAGTCTTTTTGTGTCAGCCTGGGTGAAGGTAGTGCGACCACATGGGCAGGTACCTAAATCATCCTGGCTTACAAACCTCGAGCTGCACAGAAACCAGTATCTCTTGTAAGAGTGCATGGATCTGACCTCTACGGATCACAGGAAGGGGCTTCCCACATTCACCCCATTTGCACTTTCATTAAGACACTTACTGTCTTAGTCATAAACCTTCCAGTCCAGCAGTCATTTTTACTATAACCAATGCTGTTTGGTAACACAGATGATATTCTACCTTCATGAGGTTTCTAGAGAAACAGGATACCAGAAGGCTAACACAAGATCATTTTATCACTGTGAAGAAAAGGTTCTGATGACCTTTACTCATAGGTAATAATGCAGGTTTATTTTTCCTATGGGAATAACCAACTATACCAGCACCATTAATTGAGCAGACCATTCTATCTACAATGCTACTTATCACATAAAAAGTTCCTGTATATGCATCTATGGGTGTTTCTCTGTAATTTTTATGCAGTTTCATCGGTCTCATTTGCCACTTGCTTAATTACGTATTTGCTTAATTCCTATAGCCTTGTAATAAGTCTTGATAACCTGTAGCTCCAGTCACCCCCTCTACCACATACACACTTTTCCTTCTTTACATAATACTGCCTTGTGTATTCTTGGTCTTTTGTTTTCCTAAGTTTTTGAATCAGCTGACCAAATATATATATACACACACACACGAGCTATGAAATTAAGTTAAATTAATTTTATACTTTAAATTAGGGATAACTATTATCTTTATTGTATTAAGTCTTATTATCCATAAATATGATGTAACTATTATAACATTTTGTGATATTCTCAATAAAGGCAACTCACACCTTTTTTTAGATTCACTCTTACATACTTACTGGCTTGTATCATTGTAAATATAATGATATAGATGATACCATTATATTTGTTAACTGTTGCATAATGAACAAAGCACAATTTTCATATAGAATAATTTTGTGTTTATTCTATTCTAAATACTTTATATTTGTTGTGATTTCTTCTTTGATCCATGAGTTTAGAAGCATGTATCTTTAAATTCCAAATGCATGTTTCATCCTTTTGTGGTTGACTTCTAACTGAATTTCTTTTTATGTCAGAGACCCCAGTCAGTACTATAAGATTATTTGAGATACATTTTGATTTGGAATGTGGTAAATTATTATAAATGATCCATGTATGCTTGAAAAGAATGTGTGGTCTCTAATTTTTGGATGAAAGTTCTATTTATGTTGATTATACCTAGCTTGCTAAGTGTTTTTTGGGGGGGCAATTTCTATACTCTTAATGGTCTAACCTATTATTAGGAGATAGTTTTAAATGTTGTACTATCATAGTCAATTTACAAATTTCTCTTTGTAACTATGTCAGATATTAACATATATATTTGGAAACTATTAGGTGCTTATAAATTTCAAATTTTATGTCTTCCTTGTGAACAAAACCTTTCAGTGTTATATAGTGACCTCTTTTTACAAAATATTTATTTTTATTTTATTTTTAATTTTTTTATTTTTAAATATTTTCTTTTTATTTTTTCAAATACATTTGTCTCTGCCTTCCCCCCACCACTTTCCCTTGACACCCCCTTCCTCCCTCAATCCTTCCCCTTTGGTTTTGCCCATGAGACCTTGCTATATGTTCCTTGACTTTCCCGTTCCCTTCCTTTTCCCCCCCACCCACACCTCCTTCCTTCCCTCTTGTCTCTCTTGGTTTCTTTTCCTTTCAGTGTTGCTGGTCATATTTTCCTTGCATCTTTGTTTTGTGGGTTAGGTTCCACTTATAGGTGAGATCATATAGTATTTGTCTTTCGCCCCCTGGCTCATTTCGTTTAGCATAACACTCTCGAGTTCCATCCATGCTGTGGCGAAGTTTAGTAGTTCTTTTTTTCTTTCTGCTGCGTAGTATTCCATTGTGTAAATGTCCATAATTTTTTGATCCAATCATCTACTGATGGGCATTTAGGTTGCTTCCAACACTTGGCTATTATAAATTGTGCTGCTATGAACATTACGGTGCATAGGTTCTTTTGAATTGGCGTTTTGGGATTCTTAGGTTATAGTCCCAGCAGGGGAATCACTGGATGAAAAGGCAGTTCCATTTTCAGCTTTTTGAGGAAATTCCACACTGCTTTCCACAATGGCTGCACCACTCTGCATTCCCACCAACAGTGGACTACTGTTCCCTTTTCTCCACAGCCTCGCCAGCACCTGTTGTTTGTGGATCTGTTTATGATGGCCATTCTGACCAGTGTGAGGTGGTATCTCATTGTAGTTTTGATCTGCATTTCTGATGGCTGGTGATGCCAAGCATCCTTTCAAATGTCTCTGGGCCCTCTGTATCTCTTCCTTGGAAAAGTGTCAGTGTTACATAGTGACCTCTTAATGCCTAATGCTTTTTGCTTTTGTCTCTTTGTCTGATATTATTATAGCTACAACAGCTCTCTTTTTTTAGTGTTAATTTGTGTATTCTAACTACCTTATTTTAAAATATCAAGAGAAAATATTTCTCAAGGATTTATCATTAAACTATATAAATTACCAATAAATTAAATGAGTTCTAAAGAGTTAACCTAGTCCTGAAAAATAGTTTATTGATATTAATCAGTAAAAAAAACCTCTCAAAATTAATTTCAGAACAATTAAAATAGAAATGTGGAGATTGTGAATGCAATTAAATAGAGAAGTGAGGTGGTACTATCACATTAACACAATCCCTCCCATCTCCAGCACAACACATTTTAAAAGCAATTTGCATACAACTCATTTACTAAGAAAAAGTGGCATCACCTGAGTGAGAAGCCCTAGCATAATTTACACCTGAGACATTTCAAGTCATGCTTCAAAATCAACTTGATTACATTTATCAAAGAAGCTAACTGTTCTAGATAGCTGCGATTCAAACTAAAGTCTCACTTAGGACTCTAATATATCTTTGATTGAAAGAAATGTAATTTGGCTAACAATGTCAAGGAGGCATTAGTAGAAATATACTAAATTTTGAAGATGGCAGGTCTTTTTGTAGATTGCTCACTGAATCAAATTAATGTCAAATTAAACAAAAGGCTGTATGAATTTTTCTGACAAAGCTAAGTTAGCTTTCATGCACTGCGTATCCCAAGGATTTTATGAAAACAAGGAATACTAGAAGATAGGATCCTGATTTCTAATCTTTTCTCTGTGACTGGAGAGCTGTATCATCACAGACATATCATTTCACCTCTCTCTAGGACCCTAGTTTCTTCACCTCTAAAATAAAGAAAATGAATAAAAATTTCTTAATCTGTCTCTCAAATTTAACCATCTACAAGTCTATGAGCCTAGACAATTCCTAGGAACAGCACCATACCTGAAAGGGCGTCTGATGGCTATAACATCAAATTAAATGCATCATGAAATATAAGAAAAGCAAATTCTGATAAAATAGATGATTTTCCCAACATACTTTTAAAACCATCCTGAACTATACTAAGATAACCTTTTCTAAAAGGAAACTTTAAAGCATATAAAAACTCATTCAAATAGGTCAAGCCATAAGATATAAGGAAAAACAAACCATAAAATGTACTCAGTTCTAGAAGAGAGTCAAATACAGTTATATAAAGGATCTACTCAAGACATTCTATGAAGTTGTTCACTTTTAGTCTCTCCTTCAAGCAGAAATATCATTCTTATCAGAGAAAAGTATCAATAGTGGGGCTTAGAGTCCAGAAGTACACTAAGAGTTAGAGACTGCTAGCCAGAGATGCAGTGGTGCTGTTGCGGGAAAACAGACTCAGACATGGTTCAGGGAACTGAGTAAGCCTTTATTCATGCGCACGGGCTCAGAGGAGGCAGTCTCCAAATTCTGAGCCCCGAACTGGGGTTAGGCCAGGGTTTATAAGCCTTAGCGTTGGGAGGGAAAAGAATCAGAAAGTCCCGGGCTGGGAGGGGGCGCGGAAGTAGATTGTAAAGGTCCGCCCTTTGCCTGAGGGCTCATTGACGCTGGCAGCGGTTCCTGGGCTAAGCAAATTTACAGAAGTGAGAGCAGAGCTGGTTAATAGCATCGGGCTTTCTGGTTTTTGGTTTTTCTTCCCCCCGCAGTGCCCTTGATAAGGCCACCATTACATCCATCTTCAAAGTTGTTTTTCAAAGCAGCAGCACAACTGTACTCTCTGAGTGAGGGTGGCAGCCAAACTTGAAAGTGGGGGAAGAGGTGTTTATTCTTGACACTGATTTTTATCTCTATTAATGCTAGAACTTACAGGAAGTGAGCATGAGGACAGCAAAAAAAAAAGAAAGAGGAAATCCCAAAGCTCCAGTATATTAGATAAAAGGGAAAAAAATGCAAGGCACTCAGGAGATGAAAATGCATTTCCTTTTGGTGCGCTAAACCTGGCAGAATCTCCAAATGGAAAGTAATGTATCAAGGTGAGAGATTTTTGCCCCAGATTTTTTACAGCCCTCTACTTTCCCATAGTTTGAAGACACTGCACCATGCTGCCTCTATCAAATAAAAATTCCATCATCAATATATTTAAAGTGGCTTCAAATTTTATGTAAAATTTATTTTGTATGTTAGTAGCATAAAATGAAATATGCCAAAATAAGTAAAAATTTCAATAGCATCAAAAGGGGTTTTTTTTAAAGCTACATAAAGCTCTACCCTTTCAAATCTCTGTTTTGACTATCTTTAATATCAGAGTAACAGAGCTGAAAATATCATTGTGGAGAACAAAATAGACACCAATTTCTTTGAGAGCTTAGTCAGTGATTTGGGTATCAGCCACAGTTAAATAAGAGAGATCCCGCTTTCTCTAGTTTTACCTCATTAGTCACTGATCTAGGTGTCTTTCTCTGACTTGATGAAGGCAAAGTCTTAAAGAAATTCAGGTCTTCCATATTAGAGTCATCTCTCTTCTGATCTTTTCCTGAGCAAAGAGAAGGAAAGAATTAATAAAATATAAAGGGTTACACAGAGGGAAAGATTGAGTCTAAATGAGAAAAGTCAAGCTGCATGAAGGGACTTTTCATATTTTCATACTTTAGTCATTTCATCTTTATCTCCTATGTTATAATTATTTTTCTCCCTGCTTTGAAAAACTGACATAGTAAAGATGATCTTTCTTCTAGGAGTATCCTCAGGAAATTGATTTTGGAACAGTCCCTTTGTTCCTACTTCTATATTATTCAAGGAAGTACTCTTCAGGTAAATCCTAAATATATACAACCTACAGAATCTATGCCCTGAAATCTATAGAATAAATTTTTTCTGTGTTTCAGAGTCCACTTCTTAGATAAAAAATGATGTTACATAAGCTCATATTATGACTAATAAATAAATTAGCAATATGTAAATGTAGAGAAAGTTCTTTTAGATTTTATTGATTAATATAATATGAATCATCTCTACAAATATTATTGCTGGATTTATTACAAGATTGTTGCTAATTACTCTGTTAATTCTACTGCATAGAATCTTTCAGAAGCCAAGAGAGATATTTTTCTCTGATCTTAGAATTGAGCATTTGGAGTACTATTTCCTATATCAAATATTATAATTTAGAAATTTTGTGACACAGCATATTTCAAAATCAACAATAAAAATATTAGTATAAAGATACTTTAAACACTAGATAGTGCATTCTTGAATGTGTTAAAAAAGGAGATCAAATAGAAATTATAAACTATTATAACATAAATTTTTATGTTGGAAAACGCCCCACCTGGTTTCAGGGACTGCAGCCCCACCAACAGGCAAGAGGGCCCCAAGGCTGTAAGTAATCAAGGAGGCCTTGGAAAACAGGCCACTAAGAAGATTAAACCCATCCCCCTGCCCTCCTCATATCCCCCTGCTTGGCCCTGTGATGGTCGGTGATCCATGACAGGTAAGTTCTCTCAAGAGGAGGGACAACCTAAGCCAGCCATTGGCCAATGTGGGCAGCAGACAAGGACTTGGGGGACATGGAGAAAGGGCAAAAACGCCTGCACCCCTCAGCTTGGCTTGTACATGGCCAGAGTCCTCATTCTATCTGAAAGAAGTCTCCTTATCTCTTGGTGGCTCTGCCCCACCTGCCTGGCTCAGGCTTGAAACAATACTAAAGGCAGGTACAGCCCTAAACTGGATTGGGCGGTTCCTGGGGACAATCAGGCCTAGAAGTAAGTTCCTCTAGGCATGCTTGTTCTTCCCTCAAAAGCGATGATAACTTTATCCCTAGGTACTTTATCTTTTTTCTTGCTATATTGAATGGTATATTTTTTCTGATTTCTTCTTCTTCTATTGCATTGCTGGTGTACAAAAATGCCTTTGATTTCTGAATGTTGACTTTGTATCCTGCTGTTTTGCCAAATTCACTTATTAGGTTGAGGAGTTTTTTGGTAGAGTCTACAGGGTTCTCTATGTACACTATCATGTCATCTGCAAGCAATGATAGTTTTACTTCCTCCTTTCCTATTTGGATGCCTTTTATCTCTTTCTCTTGTCTGACCACTGTGGCAAGGACTTCCAATACGATGTTGAAAAGAAGCGGTGAGAGCAGACATCCTTGGCGTGTTCCCGATCTTAGTGGGAAAGCTTTCAGTTTTTGCCCGTTGAGTATGATATAAGCTGTAGGTTTTTCATATATGGCCTTTATTACGTTGAGGAATGCCCCATTTATTCCCATTTTGCTGAGTGTTTTGATCATAAATGGGTGCTGTACCTTATCGAATGCTTTTTCTGCGTCTATCGAGATGATCATGTGGTTTTTGTCTTTACATTTACTTATGTGATGTATTACGTTTATAGACTTGCATATATTGAACCATCCCTGCATCCCTGGGATGAATCCCACTTGATCGTGGTGGATAATCTTTTTAATGTATTGCTGGATGAGGTTTGCCAATATTTTGTTGAGGATTTTAGCATCTATCTTCATCAGGGAAATTGGCCTGTAGTTTTCTTTCTTTGTAGTGTCTTTATCTGTTCTTGGGTTCAGGGTGATGCTGGCCTCATAGAAGGAGTCTGGGAGTCTTCCCTCCTCTTGGAATTTTTGGAATAGTCTGAGAAGGACAGGGGTTAGCTCTTCCTTAAATGTTTTGTAAAATTCTCCTGGGAAACCGTCTGGCCTTGGGCTTTTGTGTGCTGGGAGTTTCTGGATTACTGCTTCAATTTCCCCAGCTGTTACCGGTCTGTTCAAGCTCTCTGTTTCTTCCTCCTTCAGTGTTGGAAGATTATACTTTTCTAAAAATTTGTCCATTTCATCAAGATTTTCAAATTTCTTGGCATATAATTGTTCATAGTAGTTTCTGATGATCATTTGTATTTCTGTGGTATCCGTTGTTATTTCTCCTCTTTCATTTCTGATATTATTAATTTGAGCCCTCTCCCTTTTTTTCTTGATGAGTCTGCTTAAAGGCTTGTCAATTTTATTTATCTTTTCAGAGAACCAGCTTCTGGCTTGGTTGATCCTTTTCATTGTTCTTTTCATCTCTATGTCATTCAGTTCTGCTCTAATCTTGACTATTTCCTTCCTTCTACTTGCCCTGGGATTTATTTGTTGTTGTTTCTCCATTTCTTGAAGTTGTAGCGTTAGGTCTTTTATTTGAAATGTTTCTGTCTTTTTTAGGTAAGCCTGTATTGCTATGAACTTCTCTCTCAGGACCACCTTTGCTGTGTCCCATAGGTTTTGGACAGTTGTCTGTTCATTTTCATTTGTTTCCAGAAATTTTTTGATTTCTTCTCTTATCTCATTATTGACCCATTCATTGTTTAATAGTCTGCTGTTCAGTCTCCATGAGTTTGCAAGTTTTTGAAGTTTCTCTTTGAGGCTGATTACGAGTTTCAAGGCCTTGTGGTCTGAGAAAAAGTTTGGTATTATTTCAATTTTCCTGAATTTGCTGAGGTTTGCTTTGTGTCCTCTCATGTGGTCTATCTTTGAAAAACTTCCATGAGCATTTGAAAAGAATGTGTATTTTGCTTCTTTGGGATGTAAGGTTCTATATATGTCATTGAAGCCTATTTGATTCAGAGCGTCATTCAGCTCCACAATATCCTTATTGATGTTTTGTTTGGAAGATCTGTCCATTTTTGACAGTGGGGTGTTGAAATCCCCTACTATCAGTGTGTTGTTGTCTATATCTTTTTTGAAGTCGTCCAAGATTTTCCTTATACACTTGGGTGCTCCTATATTGGGTGCATATAAGTTTACAATGTTTATGTCTTCTTGATATAGTCTTCCTTTAAGTATTATAAAGTGCCCCTCTGGGTCTCTTTTTATGGCCTTTGTTTTGAAATCTATTTTGTCTGATATAAGTATTGCAACCCCTGCTTTCTTCTCTTGCCCATTTGCTTGGAATATTTTTTTCCGTTCTTTTACTTTCAATCTGTGTAGGTCTTTGGCTCTGAGGTGGGTCTCTTGTAGGCAGCATATGTGTGGGTCATGTTTTCTTATCCATTCAGCTACCCTGTGTCTCTTGATTGGGGCATTTAGTCCACTTACATTGAGAGTTATTACTGATAGAAACCTAGTCATTTTTTCTCTTTGTACCTGTGTTTTTCTCCTTCTCACTCTTTCATTTCATCTTCTTAAACCAGTCCCTTTAGCATATCATGGTAGTGCTGGTTTGGTAGAGATGTATTCTTTTAGACTTCTTTTGTCTGGGAAGCTTTTTATTTCCCCTTCAATTTTAATTGACAGCCTTGCTGGGTAGAGCAGCCTTGGTTGTAGGCCCTTGCTTTTCATGAGTTGGAGTATTTGTTGTCATTCCCTTCTGGCTTGTAGTGTTTCTGTTGAGAAGTCAGCTCCTAGGCGTATCGGGGCTCCCTTGTATGTTACTTTCTCCTTCTCCCTTGCTGCCTTGAGGATTCTCTCTTTGTCTTTGACATTTGCCATTTTAATGATGATGTGTCTTGGAGTGGACCTCCTTGGGTCCCTCTTGAATGGGGCCCTCTGTGCCTCCTGGATCCATGAGACCTTTTCTCTCCTCAAAGTGGGGAAATTTTCCATCATTGGTTTTTCAAAAAGGTTCTCTATCCCTTGCTCCTCTTCTTCTCCTTCTGGTATCCCTATTATGCAGATATTATTGCGTTTCAGGTTGTCCTGCATTTCCCTAAATGTCTCTTCATTCTTTTTGAGTCTTTTTTCCATTTCTTGTTCTTTCTGGGAGCTTTTTTCTACCTTATCCTCCATCTCACTGTTTCGGTCCTCGGCTTCATCCATCTGCTTTTGATTCCTTCTACTGTGTTCTTCAATTCAGGAATGGTATTCTTCATGTCCTCTTCTGTCTTCTTGATAGTTTCTATATCCTTTTCCAGGTTGCTATAGTTTGCTGTAAGATCCTGATAGTTTCTCTGCAGTTTCTCATAGTTATCTTTGAGCTGGTTTAGCTCATTGAGCTTCCTTAGAGCCATTGTTTTGAATTCAACCCTTGCCTCTGTTTCATTTAGCTCTCTTTGTGGGGATTCCCCTTTTCCACTCATTTAGGCGGAACTTCTTTTTCTTCCCATTTTTTGTGAGAGTCTTTTATTTATTTATTTATTTATTTATTTTTGCTTCTGCTTCAACTGATCCGTCGAGATGTCCTGACTTTGTGGATTAAACTTCTATGGTAGTAGGCGGGTCTTTTTATTTATGTATTTATTTTTTACTTACTTTTCTTTCTGAGTCTGCCTCTGATGATGTCAGTTGTTGACCCTACATGACCTTCGGTCGTTTGTTTGAGCCTGCCAGGAGTCTACTGTCTGTGTCTGACTGCTGCTTTGGGCAGCTCTGTGACCTCTTTGGCCAGCGATCCACTATTTCTGTGGATCGCTCTGCACTCTGATGGCAGCTCCTTGGGCGCACTCCCTGGCGTGGGCAGGATCCCCCGCACACCTGGGTGCGGGCTTGCCCCAGCCCGGGGTGGGGGGGCTGGGCTTATTTGCCCGACCTCGCGCCCTCGCCTGTCGCCT